TTGCTCATAACATGAATATATGTATTCACGAAAGCATGTTCGGGAACATTCGACAATGATCATGCGCTAATCGTGTGTTGAGCGATATTGTAAACGAGCGAACGGGACGAAAAGCTCGCGAGGAAACACGCAGCAATGCAGTCACGTCGACAAAACACGACAGAAGAGATATGTCTACGTCATTCCAACCTCCTTGATGTCAGAGCACTATATCTGCGAAGTTCCGATGCTTACCGGTGCCTGGAGGTGGGCAGGAAAAGCAGCGAACGAAGTCGGCACACTTCCCGCTTTCAACCTTGTTGTTTGTCCGGTCCGGTCAAAACACGCCGGATCAAAGTGCGCAGAGCAAAGGCGATCTTTATCTGTCGGTTTCCAGTGTTCACGACGCACAGCTCGCTCCCATAGGTTCCGTGTCTCAGCATCTTTTGGAAACCTGCCAATAATTTCCAAATATTAATTCCTTAAGCCTACCAATGAAAAACACGAGTCAGCCGTATTAGACCGCGTAAGCACTACGTGCTTTCAGTACGCACCTGTGAAATGTGATCTTGGAAGCAGGAATCGCGCGATTTGTGCACCCATACGCTACGCAGGATTGTACCATGCTCGCTTGAATCGAGCCGCACGCATTCGAATGCACTGCAGAGACACACTTGTCAAGGAAAGACAGGCGCACGAACCGCAATCCACCGTCGCTGCAGGTGAACTGGCAGCGCTGGCCGCCACCGAGCCAGCCGAGCCGAGCTTTCTGCCCACCACAACATGGCGGCGCTGGCTTCACTTGAAGAGCGCTCCCTCCACTCCAGCAATTTTTTTATATATATCCTCCTAGGTTATAGCGCGAGACCAAAACGACGACACAGAGACAAGAAGGACACGAAAGACGTGTCCTTCTTGTCTCTGTGTCGTCGTTTTGGTCTCGCGCTATAACTATCGAACAGGGAGTTTGGCCAATAATCTCCACTAGGTTCAGGGACTTTAGCGTGGTCTGCAAATTTTTGTGGTTGACTGTAAATACGGCATGACGGCCAGATTCGATCTGTCGATCTCGGTGGTTTTGCCGGGATTTTTGCCTTTTCGAACCTCGACAAGCAATGTCCTCTTCCAGCGCAGCCAGGAGGCCTATCGGGAAACCTGCCCGCACCAGCCGTTGTAGACTTTGAAAAACCATTTAAATCCCGCGCTTACACGACCTTTGTCGTACACTGCGGACGGAATATTCGGAAATTACTCTCTTCACAAGCCTTGAGATGGCGAATGAGAATGGCAAGAGGCTTTTGGCAGAGTGAGGTGCGTATATCCAGCATACATGTTGGTTTTTGATCAAGAGGAGCAAGCCGAGAAGCCATCCTCTAGAAGTTCAGTGTGCCATACTCGGGCGACACCTTCGCCAGCCTGTAACGTCTACAGGCGTCATTCTTATCATTTTTCTCACGTGGCTTTTGTTGTCTTTTTCTGCCCAAATATTTCACGTTTGCGTAATAAAACCCTGCTGGAAGTCACCGCCTCTGTTGTGTGGACTCATCTATATGTCCTGTTTGTGTGCTGTTTGGAATAACTATTCGCAGTGTTGTTATCAGCGTGTTTTATATACGTCTCGAACGCGTGACTTATGTGTCATTCAACGTGCACTTCCGTTCTGGCCATTCCCGTAAGGAAATGAAACCAAATAAATCAATTGCGTTAGCAATAACACACTGTTTTATCACCAGTTCATAACGATTCATCTATATGACTATGGCTAGCCGGACGTAAAAGTGAGAAATCATGGATTGTGTTCTTTGTTTACATCACGCCCCGGTGAGCTTAATCGCATATTTTTCTCCCCTGAAAAAATTGCTGAATGTTGTATCGAATTACCGCACATCAAGTTCAGCATCGCTTTATTGACCATTGTGAATCGTAGAAATTGCAATATTCATTCAGCAAGTGGTTATGATGCAGTATCAAGTTACGACAAGCACCGGTGCAATCTGTAATATAAGGAATAAAATAACAAGAAACCTCGAACTGGGCGTGAAAATAAATAGAAAGTGCCACCGATAAGAATTATACATTGAATTATACATTGCGCTATCAACTCGTAGGCGTTCAGGCTGGGTAGGCCAGCAGGTAGGAGTTCATTGTTTGGAGAATGGGGGGGGGGGGGGGGGTTACACTCTCGGTCAGTCCCTTTTCAAAGCACCTCTCATTAGTCGGCGTTACACAACCCGTCTGACAAAGCGTAGGCGCGTGCAACACCACACACCAACGCCGTGAACGTTTCAACGGGTGCCTCTAACGTAGATACGTACACGTCACTTTTCACTTTGTCTTGACACGATTATCCTGGATAAGAAGAGCGCGCGACTCCTGTCTTAAATTTCGCCCCGCCCCCTTTCCAAGTTTTACAAATCCGAAATACAACCACTTCTGCATCGCTATCATTATGTGCACGTAATTATGTTTCATTCTACACGCTACAGGCCAGTCACGTGACTATGGCCTGCCAACTACCTACGGCGCTGTTAGCGCCGTATAATAGACACAATCCAGCCATCGAGAATGGCTATCCCTAAAGTGCCTAGAGTTTTCCCTAGGGACCTAAGCTATCATCTAGGAACTTTAGCTAGAGACTCGAGCTATCCAGGAACATTAGCTATCACATTACGAAAACTGGCGCCGTAAAACCATATGCGCACGGCGCCGACTCAGAACAATCTGGACACCACGCGATTGAACCAGCGGTCCCAAATGTTCGTGTAGCTAGGGAAGAAGCGGCCACTGTTGGGTCGTCTCGGCGCCGGAGTTGTTGCCGCGCCGCTTCGGGTCGCCGTTTTCGACGGTGCCACCGCATCACTGCCGCCATCTTGAGCCGCGACCACGCACGACCCCTCGCGGCAGTACTGCGCACAACAACAAAAAAAAAAAGAACGAACAAAATTATACTCTGCGAAAGTTGTGTGTCTGGCGATGTTAACCTACATTCACAAAATGAACAAGCAGAAAGCAATGTGAGATTTACGCCACACACACTTCTTATGTTTCGATCTCTTGTAACACTCCTTCGCTCCAATACTCAGGATTAGGCGAGCCATGGTATTCACGGGCGTCGACAAGGGGGTGCAATCGGGGCCCTTGCCCCCTCAAGCTGCACCAGTACTATAGACACCCACCAAAGCTACAACACTACACCCAAGGACGTTAAAAAAAATTGAAATCTCCTTGACCACACCCCTTCCCCAACAAATATGCAACACAAGCTTGTACCCCCTAAGACAAAATCTTGCCGACGCCCATGACGGTATTTACGTAATTTTTAGCGCATGCGGTAAGAATGGAGCTTAAAGACATACGGCACTTTCAAGCTATTGCGTTATGTTATAACGTACGTGAGCCTCCTTTATCTCTGTAGTCCCGCGGTCAAGTTCTGTTGATGCCACTCACGATTTATTGATTGATCTGTGGGGTTTAACGTCCCAAAACCACCATTTGATTATGAGGGACGCCGTAGTGGAGGGCTCCGGAAATTTTGACCATTTGGGGTTCTTTAACGTGCGCCCAAATCTGAACACACGGGCCTACAACATTTCCGCCTCCATCGGAAATGCAGCCGCCGCAGCCGGGAATCGAACCCGCGACCTGCGGGTCAGCAGCCGAGTACCTTAGCCACTAGACCACCACGGCGGGGTTCGATGCCACTCACGGAAGGAATCATAGGCGCGCGGCTGTGCTTCGCTGTGTACGCAAGCACGCAGGCACACATGTTGATGTCTAAAATGTGATGAACCCTTTCCGTAGACTGATGCTTCGAGGTTCGGGTTTAAAACAATCTTTGGACAGCTAAAAAAAGGGGGGGCCGGGTTATAAACATGCACACCAAAACCAGAATATGATTGCAAGGCACGCCGCGATAGGGCAGCTCATTATCTTCACCATGCTTTTGGTTGCCGGTTTATGGGTGTAAAGCGGGGAAGGAAACAAATCTTGGAATGCAACATCAAGGGTCCTCGGTTGAAATTATCGTAAACAAACAAACAAACAAACAAACAAACAAACAAACAAACAAACAAACAAACAAACAAAAACGGCATGGCATAACCTCACACATTCGACAATATCGGGACAGGTCTCAATGAGTAACGCTATGAGACAGAATGGCAGCCATCTTACATAATTAAGGCGGGTGCTGCCCTTCTTACATAATAGGCGTCTGCGCAAGGTGCGCACGCCTACGCCTTCGACGAAATGCGGACGCAACGACCCAGATGAACGGCACCTATGGACTCAGCATAAAGTCATTGCCACGACTATAGATATACTGCGGCAGGTAGCTATATTGTAATGGCTATTTCCTTTAGATCAGCGACTAAGAGAAGGAACAAAAACAATATCATAACTACCTTTCCAGTGGCGCAGGTGGTGCCGTCCAATGCTGGGTGCGCCGCACTTGCCCACTGCCCTTGTTGGCACCACAGTTGACGGCACACGTCCTAAATGCAGAAGGAGATACAGGCCGATAAAGCGTGTGTGAGAGAGTTAAGCTCTGTGTAGCCTTCGCTGCATAATTGATAAACGTCCGCGTGTCAGGTAACGCGCGATATTATATATGCACAGTATACTATTCGCGCCAGCTTTTCTCCTATTCTTTATCATCATTATGAAGCGCCAATTAGCGGCTGTATTTCATCATGGGCTTACTGTATTTTGCTGGAATGAAGCATGCATAAGCAATGATCATGCACCAGGAATGCAGAACTCCTAAACGAGCTCCACCTTTTTCTTCCCAACGTTCTTCGTGTGTGTATCCCAAGACGCAGATAGTCAGGCAGTTTGGCTTACACACAACAACCCCGCACACCATACCCATAACATTTTTTAGTTCAATACGGCGGAGCTATGCTGCGACATATTTCTTATCTCACCGTAGACGTCCTGCCTATCTTCGCTCCGGGAAAATAAGAAGGCTATACACGTCCAGATTGTCCAACTTATATATCTGTGGCAGCAAGGAAGGAAAACTATTGGTACAAAGGAGCACTTGCGTTGAAAGGGCTCTTGGACGAAGCGTATGCGCTGTAACGCTTTCCGAGGGCAAGCTTGCATTGGTCGTCCGCCGGAAACAGCTCGCCAGGAAGCGGGTCTTCACTCAGCTCCTCCACCGGCTCACTGTCCTCGGTCGCAAGGCACGAAGACCCCCGGCTCCTGCAGGACACGCGCGACCAGCCGGCCAGTGGCCGTGGAATCAAACCACTGAATTTATTACAGCTGGCGCATAAGTATAAGGACACATTCGTCCACGATTGAGCTTATGCGGTCAATACGATAAATTGAGTGTCACGAAAGTTCGTCGAAAGCAAAAATGACGCTAGAAACCGACGTTTCGACTATAGGGGGACCTCTATCTTCGCCGTCGAGCGCACAAGTACCCTTCACGAAACGCCGGCGGTGAAACTTACAATCCTTGTGCGACTGCATCTCAGCCCTTCAGCCATCCATTTACACATGAACTTTCTTTATTCTGGAAATAAATTCAGTTAATTGTTGATTGCAAAGAACTCAACGGCTGCAGACAAAGCAAACGGTTCCTATATTTTACTGATCTTCTTTAAAGCCTTAATTCCTTTTCCCCAGCGTAGTTTAACCAGGGTAAAACGCCTGGTTAATCGTCCTCTCTTTTCTCCTCGTCCCTTTTTCTTATCTTCTTCTCCGGCCAGCGTCAAGACAACCGCGCGCAACTTAATCCTCTACATTCGTGGCACACCACACTATAGTTCTAGGGTACCGCATAAATGCTCTCTACAGCATATGGTCTCTACGGCAACTTACACCAGCTCTAGATCTCTGTTGACCAATGTTGCCAAAAGGACAGTGAGCGGCGCGTTCCATTCAAACACGCAAATTTTTCTTTGATCTGCGCGCCAAAGGACCTTCTGGACGTGCACAGAAGCGCGCCTTTATTGACGTTTCCTTTAGACTGACGAACCTCACCAGGTTTTTTTTTTTTTTCCCAGTCGCTAGAAATACATCTCAGATCTTGAAGTGGCCTTTAAACACTGCCGCCTATGTAAAGAACAACCACGTTATCATTTCCTTGCGTTTCCCGCCTGTTCGGTACAATTAGTAAAGCCAGCGGTGTATCCGCGTGAAGTCGATTGTTAGGAATAATTCGTTGATTGGTCCATATGCGAGAGATCAATTGTACCCTACCCTGTTTTGCCGCCATGTCGAACATACGTTCAGCCTTGCTTCCCGCGACGTGTGCGATCAACTGATTTCAATTCGTTTCGTCAGTCTTAATTATACTGTGCGAGCGGACATATCATCGTGTAGCTGAAAGGCCAGAAATGCTGATAGGCTCAACGCTTAATACTGACGTTGTCCACGCGTTTTATGAAGAAATTAATGGCGAGAAAGAGATATCACTGGTAAGAAGGGCATAGTGAAGGCGACAAAGAAACTATACGCTTACATTTGGAACTTTCAGTGGTTTAGGAGCCCTCATACAGATAGCTTGCACGTGACGTCACGCTCACGACTTCGTATCCCATCGCGTTTATAGCCTGCTTCGTTATGATAACGTTGCAGCCAGAATACTAGAGAGTTTTAGTACTGCGTACGCTGCGTACGTGGCGGCATTGCGTACGCAAGGACGCCACGTTCTGCGTAGTGCGCATGCGCAGACCGCCACGCGCACGTATCGCGTTACGTACGCAGCCGCTACGCACGCACGCATGAGATGCGTGCGTGCGTACGTATGAGGTGATCGCGCCGCTCTCGAACAAGTTCGCGACAGCGCGAGACTTCGTTTTGCAAAATGGCGGCATCGAAGGCAAGCACCGACCGGCTCTGTGGCTTAAAATATGGCCATAATCTGGCTATAACACTTGGATTGGCTCACATTGGCTGTCAACAACACGTACTTCTATTTTGATATACCAGATGACGCAACACGCTTCACGCTCGTTACGTACGCGGGTACTACGGCGTACTAAAAGCCGATTAGTGGCAAACGACGCCACGTAACGCAAGGCGCTTGCGTGATGCGTACGTAGCACCATTCCGCAGTACTAAAACTCTCTACTATATGCCTCCGAGCGTCAATAACAAGAGAACTTGCAAGCGATACAGTGATAACAACAATACGCGGCATAAAAAACCTTGTATGTGCCATGACTTTCACTAACACGGCAGTTTAAGTGACTTCAGTGCAATCCATCTGTACGCATTCTTTCCTTCAGTAAGAGAGCGCCGCTTTTCGATGCCGAAATAACGGAAGGTGCATAGGGTGCCTATACACGTGACCTTATACAGTGCTGTACGACAGCTTCCGCGAAGACCACTCACGCGAGAAAGTCCTCCAGGTACTGTCTTGAGCAGGCGGACCAGCTGGTCTTTCCTGGGCCCGTTGCAGGAGACATGATAAATCGGTCCGGGTCGCAGCGGTTTTTAGTGCCATCGTGTTCCATTCCAAGGTTGTGCCCGATCTCGTGCGCTGCCTCCAGCGCAGCCTGAAAGCTCTCGGCTTGGATGATCGTGCAGCTGAAGCGGCGTTCGCACATGCCTCCCACAAACGCCAAGCCCACGACATTGTCGTTGTTGCCCTGCAATGAGTACGTCCTGGGTGAAGTTGATGCCACAATAACGTGAAAAAAAAAAGGGTGGCACTGGCTTCTGCTTATGTTCTTTTCTAGACCGGGAAACTCAAAGACAAGTAAACGAATATAAAGGACGTGGCCTAGTCTATAGATAACGTCACTGCATGGTCGCAATCTGCAGACTCACGTTCTATCGCGTACAATTTGCTGTCATGCCTGCCGCGCTTTTTATCGTTGAGTACGAACAATATCGGATCACCGCCCTTACCGGCCGTGGGCCCAAAATGCACTTAAATAATATTTCTCTTTTCGAAAACGGACGGCTTGCGCTAGCACATTTAAGGGCACGATGAAGTTCGTGTGCTGTATACGCGTCCGCATGTTTATTTTTCTTGTTTTTTTTTCCCACCATCTGCAATGATTAGTAAATAGGGGGGCTTCTCTGGTTACCATACTTGCTTTCTCCCTTTCTGCGCGTTTCCTTTCGTTACAACACAACTAACATAAAAAAAATGTTGAGTGCTAAGCACCAGCCATGTCTACAGAGTACGCGGCTCTTTGTACACTGCGAACGCAGCCCACAGGGCTATAGACTACGTTCACACAGTCGCATTCTATGAGTAGCTAGCGCACTTAAAGTTGCATCGCTATAATTAGGCGGCATTCTAGGACTCCTTTTTAGAACGTGATACGACTCAGACGCAGTATACGCCTGAGCCACCGGCGGGGCCCACAGAATACGCACACTGCGCAGGTTCAGTCCAGACAGCAGTATTGCATGGTCCCACCGTCCGCTTCCTCGCGCTGCCCTTTGCTGGTTCATTCTGCACTGCCATATGCAGAAGTTGTCCAGGTAGTTGCCGACCTCACCGCCAGCCGTGGCAGGTCCATTCTGCGAGGAGAGTGTAAAGGTTCACAGCTGTTTGCGAGACGCGATCGAGAAGCTCGATTTGACCGTTTCGGACAGATGCAAGTGTCTCGCGGCTCGCCCAACAACTCTCGCACACTTTCTTCCTCCGTGAATCGGATTCGTTTCAGCCAGGATAACGTGAAGCCTGTGGCATCATAGTGATGTCGCCAGCAGAGGAGTTCAGATTCCAAAAGCAATATTATAAAATAAAGTAAGTCTGACCTTAATATTATTCCGCGGCTTCTAGACGCGTGGCCAGAAATGAAAGCGTCATGCAGCGATTGAATTTGATAACAGTTAAATCGGATTGATTGATTGATATGTGGTATTTAACGTCCCAAAACCACTCTATGATTATGAGAGACGCCGTAGTGGAGGGCTCCGGAAATTTAGACCACCTGGGGTTCTTTAACGTGCACCCAAATCTGAGCACACGGGCCTAACAGTTAAATCGGAGTAATCCCTGTTAAAGCACCTGACGAATAACACTAATATTCAAGGAAAGCTTCCCTGGAGGATACACAGTAACATTAGAGTCGCTAGCGATTGACGTGCTTCCCGAATATTCCGAGGGATTCCAGCAACAGTATGTAGGTATATATGAGGCAGGGGCGTCTACAGCCATGAAAAGATTTTTTTGTAGCGCAAGGTGAAATACGGAAACAAGAAGGAATAGAGTGGCAGGACAGAACTCATGACATCTCAGGACGTTAAAACATGAGGCGTTGAGCCATGAATAGAGTTATCTCCCACTGAAATCGATTTCGTCGTGAACGTCACATTGGCGGCGCGTTAAGTGTATCTCTTTCCACGTGCTTTTCGAGCATTATGCCGACAACGCGTGAACCAGTCGAAGTTTGCGCTCGTCCTGGTTAACTATGTCCTGCGTTTTTCGAACCGTTTCCATAAACGCATGACCAAGTTTAGTAATAACAATCGTTGGGTTCAACGTCCCAAAACCACGCTATGATTAGAGACGCCGTAGCTGAGGGCTCCGGAAATTTCGATCACCTGGGCTTTTCTTAACGCGCACCTAAATCTAAACACACGGACCTCCAGCACTTCCGCATCCACCGGAAATGGGACCGCGATTTGATCCCGCAACCTGCGTATCAGCATCCGAGTGCCTTAGCCACTTAGACCACCGGGGCGGGCGCATCGCCAAGTTTACAATCAAATACTCATCCACGCCCTCTGCGTTCTGCTCCTCACCTCAATACCCGACCCTACGAATCAAAATGCTCGATAAACACTTGATTAGCTACCCCGAAACAGAATGCTTTCGGCGCATCATCTTACCCCAGCGTTGAGGACCTCAAGGTGGACAATATTCAGCTTGATCGGCGTTCCCAATGACCTGTACTCCAGGATGAGTTGGACCTGCCACAGAAAGGGGACCACAAACATTCATATGCGTGGTGTTTCGACCCTTAGGTGTTGAATACCGCAAACAAGGCAGAAATTAAAAGAAAAGACGAAGGCACACAGGGCGCGAACCATACCAACGAAAACCAGATCGCTGAGTGACGGCGTACCTGGTCGAACCTGCTCTCTGTGCGTCTTCGTCTCTTTTTTTGATTCCCTATCTTGTTTGCTAATTCCGCACTAAGGGTGATTAACTAACATGCCCAACTCAGATTTCCCAAGTATGGACGGCAGGAGGCTCAGTTTACCCAGATCACCGAGTGACCACGTACCTGTTCGAGCATGGCTAAGAGGAGCTTGTGCAGCTCGCTCTGGTCTGGACTGTTGTTACTCAACGCGGCGTCCACGAACACCGCCAGCTCAATGGCACGTCCACCGGACGAAGTAGATCTGCACAAATAGTATCGATCATCATGGGTACCGCCACCGGAAACACCATTGAAAAGGAATGTTTCTTAAGCATAACATTAGGTCACTGTATCGAAGAGGGTCACTTCTCATCTTAATAGGAGATAAGACACTCCTGCACTCAATCAAATTGCCAGTTGCACTTTAAGTATAAGCCAGCGTGATTTGACAAGTCTGCAACCATCTCCAAACATATGGTTTAAGTAATACACCTTATCAGCGATGCAGAAACTATCTTGACAGGGGAGCTGAAGGACACACGAGAAGAAACAGACGAGAACAAAGTTGCGCCTGTTCTCGTCTGTTCTTTCTCGTGTGTCCTGTTTAGTTCCCCTCTCACGATGGTTTCTATGTCAAAACACCAACTTGCCCAACAGCCAACTCTTTCATCCGCGATACTTTTCCTGGTTCTTGTTAGTGCGACTTCAAGTGGCAAGACAGCGCCACTATGAAGAACTAAAGTGGCGATAACTCTCTCCAAAGCAGCGATATTTCCTGCTTAACTCCACTGTCGAGGGTGCTGAGTTATTTTGCTAAATAAAGTGAACCGTACTGTGTTACAAGTAAAGTTTATACGAACAGGTGCAACGACTCCAATGAATTACAGTATGATACTGCAGTGCCAGTTACCTCGAAGCCACGTGCTGAAGTCATGGCAGTCAGTGCAAATCTCCGTGTCTCTGACAGATACTTCTGCAAAAGGAGCGCGACACTTGTTCTTTGGATGTAAGCGAAGGAAGAGTGGAGGTCATTAAGATGTCGACACGTGACGCGAAGGTAGGCACAAGCGGGTTGGCAACGTGAAAGAACGCTTTGTAAGGGAAGCCGCATGCGACGACGAACGACTTACCTGCGTCTCCTGGTGGACAGCTTGCTCCAGGAGGTCAGCAGCTTGGACGTTGAGGGTACGCGGCGCACCACGTGTCTTTCTTCATCTTCACCGTCGACGCCCGCCGTGCCACTGCGGTTCCGATTGGGCGCCACTGTAATCGCCTCGCCCTGATAAGTGATGATGATGGCGTGCACTTCTGGGTCACCGGGACAGGCGATCACCACCGCCCTGCCCGTACCGCTGACGCCCTGCTCGTAGACGTTGCCTTCGAAAGTGCAGTTGGACGGCGGCGATATTGCACCGCCGGCGACGGACTCAAATGCGGCCGGCTTGCGCCGAAGCGGTACGTACAACCTGCGCTCCCCAGTGCGCAGCGACAGAATTTCGGGCCTGTAGACCACCCTGGCACTCTCGTCGGGGAGCCGTGGATCCTGATCAAAGGCAGAAATTGGGGGGAGGGGAGGCCCGCACTGGGTTTGTAGACTAAAAGATATATGCACCCAGGAAAGCTTGGCCAGTGGCCTACAGTTCATTTGACATTACTAAGAAAGATTACTGCCGACACCGACGGTCATACCGCGTCGTGTTGACTCCTCTCTTTGTCCTTTGTATATTCCGTGGTCACTTAGTTATCATGGATAACCAACTGGCCTATACCCACACTCGTCTACGTTACCTAACTTACTGCAGTGCGCAAGTCACGAAAAAGAACTTGGTCTGTCCAATACGTGTGACACAAATTTACACGTCTTATCACTGGCGTAGCGTTGAGAGAGAAAGATGTTCTGGGTTAAAATATCTGGGTATGAGGCTGTGTCATGTCTCCGATTCTACACGTCAGTGAAGTTTTCCACGTGAACGTTCAAAGTACAACCTCAAATTATGAACAAAGGCTACTTGATAAGCCATCTAGTATTATAGGAAGAACACCCCAATGCCCCAACCACGCGTTTGATCACAACAGATCGCTCTACAGTGAGCTTTTGGAAAGAAGGTTTACACCTGTGTCACACGGGCGCGCAAAAAGTCTTTTAAGTAAGCGGTCTTTTACGAAGTTGAAAGACTTTTAACAAACGGCGCAGACACACGGCAGCAACGATCTCCTTTTAGTGTTTTCGTTCGAAGACGCTAGCAAAAGCGTGGCGCTAGCAGTTAAAAGATAAGCAATGAAAATTAAACCATGTATCACGATGTACAAATTAAAGACTTGTTGCACTGCTCGTTTCTTCAAATAAATTTAAGAATAAGAGATGAAAAAACACTTGTGCAAAATGGCGTGGCGCGGGACCGAACGTCACCACGTGATATTGCCGACGCGTTGTAGCTGCTTACGAGAGTAGAAAAGGAAATAACCATTAAAAGAGTTCATTACACCTTCTGCAGGATATGAAATTCGTTTTTACAAATAGTTTTAGTGACTGCAAAATAAGCATTCGCTCTTTTTTTCCCACCACTCGAAAATTGCTGTCGCCCACTGGTTTCGAGGCTACTCATTCGGAGCCGTAAAAAAGATCGACGAACTCCGTTTACGAAAAAGACCGCTTCTGAAAAGGAGTTCGCTCTGTGCCATGTGTCTGCTGTCAGGAACTCCTTTTCGGGAAAAGACCGCTTACTTAAAAGACTTTTAAGTGCCCGTGTGACAGGGGTGATCAGTTAAGGCTGTTCAACTGTTTGGTCACTCTAACTTCAAACAATGTGGGGAGCTTGAACTCACCTGGACGGCGGACGCTGCATCCAGCAGAAGTAGTTGCAGTGCCGTGCTGATGGCAAACAAAGCTCGCATCACGCTGGATGGCGAACGTCGGACCAACCGGGCCATTTATTTTTCTCTCGAATAGTGCTTGCTGAAAACAGCTATAGCTCCTATAGGTTTTCACTTATGATGCTCCCGACGAAACGAGAGCAAATGAGCGTAGTTCGTTAAACGGCAGTAGAAGGCGCGTTCACAGACCTTGGCCCTGGCTATAGTGTCGGGCGCTGGCTGCATACGCGCATAATATATATACGCTTGCCTCAATCATGCTGTCTCGCGGAAACAGGCGTGTGGGTGGTGCATGGAGGTGAACAATGCGTGACACCGTGCACACAGACGGGCACGAGGAGTCGTCACCTGCTGTCGATACAATGCCAGTACCGGAAGGTGTTGCCACACCGGTGGCATCGCCATTGACTCGGTGTCGAAACCCGGCTCACTGCACGCCTTCGGGGGTCCATGCGTGCCGTGACGAATGCAACTTTTAGTTGTTGTTTTTTTTCTCTCCCGAGCGTATCAGTCATATCTTTGCAATTGACAAATAGCTTATTGGCAGCTGCGAACATTTGCATGTAGCCCGTGGAAATACGTCGAGCATCGTGGCTTTATGAGTCACGACCGGCTTGCTTTCACACAACGCGTGAAATGTCGTTTGGTCGCACTTCGTCGAGACCGTATACTTCGTCCGGAGGATGAAGTTGTGGTGTATCTGAAAATGTTCATTGATGTTTCATGAAAAACAGAGGATTAAATACCGGCTTATGTGCATCTTTCCGCATAACGCTGTCCATTTGTGCTTATGGCGTAGTTAGCATACGACTTTGGATATCTCTCTCCTTAAGCGACAAACGTTTGTTCCTGTTGACATTGCCGTATGGTAGACTGTGTCTTCGCGCACCGAACTTTGCACTACCGAATTTCATTTCATAGATCGCGTAGTTTGCTCTGGGCAAGTCAACACTAGTTGTATTGCGTGGTTCCACGCTCATACACGGCTCCAGCTTACACTAACGGTGATGCTCGAATGTCTTAGTTTGAGGAATTTCTGTTATGACGAGACAGAGACGGGGACCTGTGAACTGCTGTCAGCGCTTCATGAGCGACTTCTCGTATACTTTTGAAGCATATTCCCTCAGTTTCCCTGAAGCTCATCAGTAAACATTCGGTGGTCCATTACGCCAATAGTTACGACTGTGGAATGCGGTGCGCATTGAACTGCAGGTGCTATGGTGCAGTTTTATTTGACTTCACCCACGATTTCCGTGGACTCGAACACCTCATGAGAAAAACAAAACATCACTGTGTCATCGCAAAACTACCAGCTGATTTCGTGAAGCATGCGGACAGGGCGAGTCTCCATTACTCCTCGCTTTTGAGTTTTCAGAAGACACGACGGAAATATGTCGGCTCTTGATTTCTGTAGGTTAATCGCTTACGCAGCCCATACAATCGATATCGCGCTGTCGAAGACAAACCACTCGAGCTATTAGAATGAATTGCAGACACTATTTGGCAGGTAAAGAAAAATAAAAGCCTTTATTATTGAGTGGAGACCTGAGTTCCGGTCATCCAACTGGACGGGTACCAACATTGACGCACACTTCGTGCCATCGTTCGTCGCGTCCCCCATGAGGTGAACTCCACGTTAATGCAGAAAAATGTACTGCCGCACCGGTCGTGGAAGGCGGGAATCCACGAACAGCCCTTGTGAAGTCAACGGGAAGCCTTGGACCGCAGGGCCAGCGAGCTGCAGCAGTCAGCGGAGCCCTGGACAGAACCCCGCCTTACGCCTAAGGAAGGTTTGGCTAAATAAATGTTTGTTAAGGTAAAAAGCCTTAGATGCGTCATTAAACGCCAAGGTACGTTTGCCGTTGGCGTAGACGGTGTTGACGCGAGTACTGTGAAAAATCATATTGTGATGGCGTCACCGTAGGACGTCTTCATGACGTCACAAGTCACCAACATTTCTAACATCATCATGACGTCATGTCCAATCAGATGAAAACATCAAATGATCTGGATGACATCCAATGTCATTCACCTGAATGCGATGGAAAACACCCAATGATATGAAAAAGATGGCTTCAACTTTCGAATCGCCCTAGGCGAATGCATAAAGGGCCCTGCTAGTTTTATATCTCGCTCGATCTCTTAGCTGCCATTCCAAGCATAACGCTATACGCATTCGCTGTGAGCGCGTTGTCAAAGCTCCGCGCAAGCCAGTCTGGACACGCGTCATTACGCACTTCTGTATCCGCACGTTGCTCCACGTTGCACGACCAAGTTACGTCGGGCAGTAATGTTCGCACCTGACGGGACCGTGGCGGAGGCATCGGGCCATCTAGGATTTCCTTCGCAGTTATGCCTCGCGTGGGCGTCACACAATCGCTCGTCGTGTGGCTGGAAGAATTAATACGCGCGCCAACGCCGAACAAATCAGCGCCCAGTTGACGCGCCATCCGGCGAGATAACGTGGCTCACCAGGGGACGTGGAACACAGTGCAGTGTCGGAAATGCGACGCGGGCAGCACGCAGCATTGTTTACGGTTCACCTGGGTGGAACACGTGCGCTGTGCCTGAGGGAGCGTGCAACAACAATAGAAAATATCAAGAACAAAGGCTCTGTGACTATACTTTCAACGGCTCAACCGTATATCAATGCCATACCTACAGCAAGATTCCACTGTACCACGCAAGTGCTAGTAAAGGTACGAGTAATCCGTTAAGCAACAGAAGAAAGCAACAGAATACGAATCAAGAAGGGTGTAAGGCAGGGGGACACAATCTCCCCAATGCTATTTACCGCGAGCTTACAGGAGGTTTTCAGAAGCCTAGAATGGGAACAGTTAGGGATAAGAGTTAATGGAGAGTACCTAGTAACCTGCGCTTCGCCGATGACATTGCATTGCTGAGTAACTCGGGGGACGAATTGCAACTCATGATTACGGAGTTAGACAAGGAGAGCAGAAAAGTGGGTCTTAGAATGAATCTGCAGAAAACGAAAGTAATGTACAACAACCTCGGAAAAGTGCAGCGCTTCGAGATAGGTAATTGTGCACTTCAAGTTGTAAAAGAATATGTCTACTTAGGGCAGGTAGTAACCGCGGAGCCGAACCACGAGATTGAAGTAACTAGAAGAATAAAAATGGGGTGGAGCACACTTGGCAAGTACTCTCAAATTATGACAGGTAGATTGCCACTATCCCTCAAGAAAAAGGTATATAACAGCTGCATCTTGCCGGTACTTAGCTACGGAGCAGAAACCTGGAGACTTACACAGAGGGTTCAGCTTAAATTGAGGACGACGCAGCGAGCAATGGAAAGAAAAATGGTAGGTGTAACCTTAAGAGGCAAGAAGAGAGCAGAATGGATTAGGGAACAAACGGGGGTTAAGGATATCATAGCTGAAATCAAGAAGAAGAAATGGACATGGGCCGGGCATGTAGCGCGCAGACAGGATAACCGCTGGTCGTTAAGGGTAACTTACTGGATTCCCAGAGAAGGCAAGCGGGTTAGGGGGAGACAGAAGGTTAGGTGGGCAGACGAGATTAAGAAGTTTGCGGGCATAGATTGGCAACAGCAAGCACAGGACCGGGTTAACTGGCGGAACATAGGAGAGGCCTTTGTCCTGCAGTGGACGTAGTCAGGCTGATGATGATGATGATGATGATGAATCCATTACTACTCACACGGCACGTCAATCACCGTCCGACATTCGGTTGTATACCGATGCCCTGTTGTTTTTGTGTTTTTGCCGGATGCACGAGGCATAAATGGTAAGGTATTGTTATCCATCCGGAGAATAACATGCGGCGTCTGAAGTACGCTTTAACCGATGTGGTGCATGGCTCAGTAGTTGCGAGATTCTGATGCTGCATATACGAGGTCGCAAGCTCTACTACATACCAGTGGTGGATCCAGGGGGGGGGGGGGAATCCAAGTCTTATGTCAGCACCCCTACCACCCCCCCCCCCCCCCGCGATACTTGGAAAGAGGTTACTCCATTTTGCAGAAGATGTTCATCGCCATTCGATGACTAAACCCCGTATTCACAAACGCTCCTCGACTCGACTTCCACCCTTCACTTGACAGAGTTGAGCAGTGCGCCACCGCTCGGCTGAAAATGACTTACGCGCTACTCAAGAATCGCAGCGGATTATCGCTGATATGCAGTGACTTACCTTGCCTAGAGAGGGCGTTACCATCGGCTTTCTCAAGTGATGGTGAAGCGTTGAGTGAAGGGACGCTCTAGAATACGGGGGTAAAAGCCATGTCCCTTGGATCTAGGGACATTCAAACATAACTTGAACGGCGCTTAAGGCTATAGAGGTCTACGGGACACTGTCTGTATCCCAGCATGCCTCCGGTGTACTATAGCTAAAGGGAGCTCCGGCCTCGACCAATCAGCAACGCGCTAAGCAGACTCCACATGAGGAGCACTACTGAGTGCAGTCAAAGGTGAGCCATAATTTATTTCTGTTTCCAAAATACTGTTGGTCGTCGCGGGGTGAGTACAGTAAATGTTAACATAACACAAAAACAAGTACAACGTACTATAATGAAGACAGAACTAAAAAAAAATACATATTTATCCAGAAAAAAGAAAAAAAATATTTATAAATACGTATAATGTGATGGTGGTACAGTATGCAATGTGAAGTAACTACACGATGTATTTTCGAACAACATGGCAATGTACGCACAATACTGTAGCAATACTCGATGTTCACGGCATATTTTTAGCCCCGCCGCGGTGGTCTAGTGGCTAAGGTACTCGGCTGCGGACCCGCAGGTCACGGGTTCGAATCCCAGCTGCGGCGGCTGCATTTCCGATGGAGACGGAAATGGGTTAGGGCCGTGTGCTGAGATTTGGGTGCACGTTAAAGAAACCCAGCTGGTCGAAATTTCCGGAGCCCTCCACTACCGCGTCTCTCATAATCATATGGTGGTTTTGGGACGCTAAACCCCACATATCAATCAATCAAACGACATATTTTTAGTGCACTCTTCAAAACTTTCTATGCGCTTCGAATTCAGTACCAGTACTCAATCCACTCTTTTTATCATTCGCGCAAAGAAAAAAAGAAAGAATTCGCGTACACATCAAGATTGCATTTTGGAACCGAAAACACAAATCGATTGCAAGATCTGACATTGGTGGAGGGCCTGGGAACAAGATAAAATTTAGTTTAAATATTGAGGTG